GCCCAGCTGCTAACAAAAGACTCAACAAACTGCATGAACTGGGTTTGGAGAATGGTTTGCAAGGAAGATTTACCTGATGACAACCGCAAATTCAAACTTCAGAGACCTAGAAGACCATCCCTCAACTGGACACTGCTCTGACCTAAATATTTGTGTTTTAACTCGTTGGCTTTTTCAGTAAAAGCATCTTAAATGATCACTCTTTAAGCCACAATCCCTTTTGTCTTTTTTCAGTGTCTGTGCCATAAAGCTATAAAACACGGCACACATAAGTGGAGACCTAGTGATACATTCCAAGAAGCAGGATGCCCTCTTGCCAACTGTGAAAGCTTTAAATCCCGATTTTTTACATCTGTAAAAATCCAATAGGATTAGTGGCAAAAGAGCTTTTTCCAAAATAATACAAGACAACTCTCAGATGGGTAGGGAAAAGCTACTCAGGAGACAGGGACAGGCCTTAAACCAGGAGCACTATTCCTGTGGTGTTCTCCAGTGCCACTGCCACTAGATGTCACAGTGGAACAGCAAGAGGAGCCCAGAGTGTGGCTTTGTGCTTGCTGTAATTGTGAAATGTCTTTAAATTTGTCTTGGCACATCCATAGTGTCTCCATACAGCTTTGATCCTGCAGATTTGAAAGCTCCTTGTGGTGCAAAGGGACATTATGCAACTTTTCCACACAAGAGCAGGGAAACCCAGTGCAGGGAGCTGTTTTCTGGGGGGGGTTATGGGTTTTTTCTTTTTTTTTTTTTTCCCCTCTACTTGAGCTCTTCTCCCAAAGCCACACAGGGCTTTTAAGGACTTGAAGCCGGCGGGTGATGCACTGAGATGCTCTCTCTCACGCTCTCTTGGGATGAGTATCCTTCTCTGTTGTGCCTGCGCCAAGCCCTGTTAAATGGAGCTTGGGTTCACCATTGCTTAGTTACACAATGTACTTCTCCCTGGAGTCATGAGATCTCCTCCCTCGAGGAAGGCTGTGTGGAAGAGGATTAGCAGCAAGTTCACTTGACTCAAACCTCCCCACCGCTGCCATGAACCTCCTGTTTGTGCCCTGCACCTGGAGCCTCAGACCCCCTCACACACGTGTGTCCCCTTTATTGGCACTGCTGTCACACTCACCAGCTCCCAGCAGAGCCTGAACTTGTCCTTTCCCTGCTCCTTTCCCATGGGACAGCTGGGTTTGTGCCTGTACCTGTGCAGGGCACACACACACACTTCCCTGCCTGAGCGTGGGGCAGGAGCCAGCTGAGTGAGCCTTTGGAAACTGCTGGGAATTGCACATGGTGCTCATGGCTGGAGCAGCTGCTTTGCCTCCCAAATGTTAAATGGCTTTTGCCCTCCCCTGGGAACTCACTGAGCTCTGAGCCTGTGTCTGGACCCCAGATCAGTGATGTTTTGTTTTCTTTGTGATTTACAGGTGCTCAGTGCTCCCTGTTCACCAGCCCTGAGCCTGCAGCATCACCTGGCAGAGCCAGCACCTCACTATCACAGCCTTGCAACAACCACAGAGGAGGCTTGCACCAGTCCTTGTCCCCACAGCAAGTTTTCCAGATTTTATTGGTTAAGTGTTAATATCTGTCTTTATGCAAGCTTCTGACTGTGCCAGAGGATTGGTTCTTTTCTGCTTTTTTGTCTGTTTGCTCTTTGCTCCTGTTTATTGTAAGGTTTATGAAGTTTTTTATTCCCTTTACATTTCAGGTTTCATTCCCCATATCACTCCATTTCTCCCCATGAAACCAGCTTCTCAGTCACTGAAAGTTATGATTAAACATCTTTGTAAAGGCTTAATTCCCAGTTACACAGTGATACTGACAGCTGTGCAATCACATTTTAAGCACTTGTTCCCCACCCAACCCACTGAAATAATGTTTCTGGCAATTTAAACCAACACTGCAGTTGTGGACTTGTGAGAAATAAGATTTAAGGGATAGTCAGAAACCTTAAATATGATACTTACTGCATACACACAGATTGAAAGCTGTTGTGGGATTAAGGCTGAGGGAAATGGAAGGGACTGGTGGAGAATAAAGATGGAATTAAAAGTCAAGTCAGATATTCACTTAGATTTAAACTAATCTGTGCTGCTCACACTGGGCCTTTCAATGGGAGTTTGAAGGCAGAGGAGACAATTTCAAAGGAGGAAGCTGAAGTCACATGGGAGAAGCAGTTTATGCAATACCAGTTTTTGTGATGACCCCCATGAGAATCTGTAGGTGAATTAGGTTAAATTCAAATCTCCATGTTATCAAGTTTGAGCCTGTGTCACCCAACACTCACCTCATGTCCATGGGGGGAAACACGCAGCACAAAGATTCATCTCCTTCCAGGGCAAGGGTCTAAAATAGCACAGCCAAATCTTCCTCTGGAGATGCCCCTTGTGTTCTACCCCTTGCCAAAAGATCCAAAGAGAATGAGCTTTGAACCAAAAAATCTCCAGTATCATCTTGCCAGGCAAGATGAGCACCTGAGGCAGGGTGGATAGGGCTCTACTCAATAATATTTCCTCTATTTCTGATGAGATAAAAAAATCCTTCCAGTGAATCCCAAAATTGTGGGGAACTCACCCATCATCTTTCTTTTGACAATGAATGACAGCTTTTTCACTAAATCACCCAGCAGGAATTGCTACCCTGATAGTGGTGCAGAGGACTGGGATTCAGGACAGGTTTTAGCACCCTGGAGCATCCCTGAATTACAGTGCAACCAGCTATCTCATGAATTTTCAGCCCTGCTGCAGGGCCTCAAGGGGAGCTAAGTGTCCAAAGAGGGACATTTAAGCAGGTGTGAGCAAACACTCATGTACACAGATGAACATGCCTGCAGCATGGAGTGAAATTTGACAGGAAGGTTTTGGAAAATGGAATTTATATTGGGGGAATGGTGATCTGCAAGGGAAAGATCTGCTCAGGCAGCCAAATCCCTTTAGAAATCAGGAATGGTGTACAGCTGATCTTAATTCCAGTCGTTAATTTAACATTGTTTCTATTTGTAGAACAAATAAATAACTTCTGAACAAACAAATCAGGGAGCTGGAACCTGAGGGGTGTGGTACATCAGCTCAGGGACTCGTGGTTAAGAAGTCCAATAGATTTTGATAACAACTGGAAATTGTTCAGTGGATTAGTGCCTAAAGCCAGTTTGGCTTCAAGTAATGACAAGCCTGAGCTGCTGTGCCGTGGAGCCAAATTTCTCCCCCTGAGGATGGTTGTTGCTTGTTCTGGGGTTGTGGCAGTGTCCCCAGGTGACAGCCAAGTCCCTTCTGAGCTCAGAGACATCCTAAGCCAAAAAACTGTGGAAAGGGACTGCCTTTGCTTTTTCTCCAGACTTTTGTGTGCATTCTTCTCTGCCCATGTTTGTAGTCCCTCCCTTTGCTCTACTAATCCATGAAACACGTTCATCCTGGGGATAAGGGGCAAATATAGCTAATTGCCTGAATTCTGCATGAAGGCATGCCCTGTCTAGGCATTTGGAGTCAAAAGGCTTCTGTGGATCTTGTCCCACTTTATCTCCTGTAGGAGCTGACTCCTATGGAAAGTTCACAAGATGACAGATGTTTCACTTGCATACCTGAGAAAAAAATTGTTTTGCTAAGACAAGATATACATTTATTTCTCCAGAGCTCTTTTCTTTAGAAGAAGCTGGCCTCGTGCAGAAGATCAGATGAGGGTGTTTGGACTCTCCTTAGGCTGTGTTTTGGCCATCAAGGAGAAAGCCCCCAGTGCAAATCATAACTGGTTACCCCGAGGGGCTGTGCCCTGTGCATCCCTCATGGGCACCAGACACAGCCAGTCAGTTTGGAAGTCTCCATTGACTTGGCCAGGCTTTCAACCAGGCACTATACAATTCATCAGAGTAATTAGCAAAGCTGTAACTAAAGAGGTCTCCATAGAGATTGACAGCATCACCTCCCAGCTGGTACACTCTCTGCCTCCTATTCTAAATTTGTTCTCGCTGTTTCCCTGGCTCTAATCCATAAGGTTAGTGAAATCTTCCAACATTTGTGACACATTACAGCAGTGGAAAGAAGGACAAAGGTGGCTAGGAGGGGGCTGAGAAAGAAAGAACCTGGTTGGTGCCTCAAGGGAAGCAGCAGAAATTGTTCACACATATATAGCCACAGTTTTGAGAATGGGATTAGGCAGAACAGCACCTCTGCCTGCCTGTCACTTGCAAATTCTTGCTAATACTTTAGGAGCTTATTGGAGGTCAGCACGAAACACCCAAACAGACTAATCTGTATTATAGACACATAATCAAAGTCACAAGGTTTTACATAATATATATTGGTGACACAAGAAATGTTTGTTCGAATAATTTTGTCATCAAGATTAGTGGCCATGAAAGCCTCTACTGTGCACTAACCTGGTTTTTATGGCCATGGCTACACCAGATTCCTCAGACAAATCAAAAAGGATCTGAGAAAGTACAAATATATGTCCTGAAACAATTATAATATTAGGTTTCTGGCCATAGCAAAGTTTTAAAAAAAAAGTGTGTGTGTGTGTCTGTGTGTGTGTTTGTGTGTCTGTGTGAATTAGAAAGGGCTGTGCTTAAACTTCAGCTTAAGAGAGTTGAACAAATGGCTGGAGATACAATTTTTGCATTTGCCATTTTTTCCCAACAGTTTTGCAACTGCAGCAAATCACACCTCACACTCACACACTGCTCTGTGGGAATGTCAAGAAGTTGGGATTTCAAAGATAAATTGATGTCACTTGACCCACTTGTGAGCTTTATAGTCCCTTTCAGGGAGGTGGAAGCTGTAGTGCAGAGAACAAGTGGTCTGGGCTCACAAAGTCAGAGGCAAAGACAGGAATGGTTCCTGTGGAGATAACAATTCCAAACTGAGAAATCCAATTCAGAAGGAAATTAGTCAATGGAAATATTTGGAAATGTACAGAAAAGTCTGATTTTCCACTCTCATAGAGATTTTTATGTATGACGTTACACAAACACACAAAAAAATCTGTACAGTTATGAAAGAAAAAGCACCCCTCCCTGGGAAAAAAAATAAAAGGAGAAAAAGAATTTAAGAGCATTTTCTCTGTGCTGGGAAGAGACAAAGCCACAGCTCATACCACATTGTAAAGATTCTGACCAGCTTGTTCTCCTGGCTGATGTACAGCAAAGCCAAAGGCCTTGTGAGGGTTCTCCACATTTGCTGTCCCACTGCAGGAGTTCACCCCACCAAACTGAAGTGCCTCCGTGGAAATCCCTTTGCCCTAAACTCCCCCACAGTCAGTGAAGAGAGAGCAAGAGTGATGCCAGCAGACATTTGCAGAAGTGGAGTCAGAACTTGGGAAAGCTGAATTGGCCTCTGGATTTGTTGCAATTCACATGCTGCTACCATGTGAACCCAGGGCTAAAAACACTCCGGCGGCTTTTCCAGGACTCCTGAAAGCTCCTTTGTGGAAGCAGAGCTGACTGAACTGCCATTCTGGTCAAGAAAAATCAAGCACTGGGTGGGATTTCCAAGAGTACTTGGCTGTAACCTCACCCCATTCCCCTATTCTGTCATTAAACACAATCCCAGCAACTGGTGAGACAGAGCACTGAGCCCGGCGTGCTGGCCCTAAAGGCACAGGGAAGTTGTAACGATTAAACCACATGAATCTCTTAAATTGTTACCCAGGATTGCTCTGCCAGCCACCATCGTGTCAGGCAGGACCCATTATCTCCAAAATTGTCATGGGAAGAAAGTGCTGCATCTCAGCAGACTCTGCTATGCAGCAGGTTGCAGGTGGACTCTGAAAAGAAAAAAAAAAAAAGAAAAAAATAAGAATGTAAGTTGAATTAGCTGGAATCAGAAAGAACAGCAGTGAAAAAAAGCTATCAAATGCAGGCAAACATCCCATTGCCAGGGCAGGAAGAGTGGGCTAGCTGCTCAAAGGAAGTGGGTCATCACTGTTTGCAGACATCACTGGCACCTCCAGTTGAGATGTGCTGCTGAATGAAGAGCACCTTTACAAACCAGAGCTGCACTTTCTGTCTTTGGGTACTTCAGTAAAGGCATCAATAGCCCTGAAGAGCTGCACTCTCTCCTTCTGTTGGCCACTGCTGACTCCAGCTGGTGCAGACTGTGTGATGCCTTGCATCTGGTGGCACACAGGGCAAACTAAAACAAAATAGTTCACCTCTTGGAAAGACTCTTAATGTGCCCAGTTTAGAAGGCAGGGACTGCTCCTGGCAGAGGTCACCCTCTGGACACGGGCAGAGGATGTGCTGTGTAATAGCCAGGACTGCTAACAGCCAGAAAAACCAAAACAGGCAATAACTCTTCAGTTAAAAAGGAATTTTGTCCTAATTTAAATTCCAATAAGACAGAATTGTTGCTAAAGGGATTTCATGGTATCTGCAGAAATGGAAATAGTTCCATTTTGTGAAAATTATCTTGTTTATAGTGAAGTTTTGGATACCAAACCCTCAGAGGAGCTCTGGAACTTCCAGGTTGTCTGGAGAAGCCAACACTCATTGCCTGATGAAAAGCCCAGATGCTGGGAGCTGCTCTGCATCTCCTGGAGAGGCTCCCAGCCACAAGGAGGGTTCCAAACATCCACAGGATTTGGTAAAGTCTCACAATGGAGCACAAAATCATGCAAATCTGCAGCAGTTTAATCTCATCTCACAAACTCTTCTCCACTGAAGGGTTCATAACCTTTCTAAAAAGATCATCTCCAAGTGACAAAGAGATGGTTCCTTCATCACAGCGAATTAAGGCTTGGGGTTGAACTAAATTAGTACAGCAGATGAAAACCTGACTGTTTATATAAATTGAATCACATCACAAACAAAAGAAATGTGATATTTCTATATAACCTGCATTTTGAGAAGGAAATGGTGCCCATGGGGTTGGAAGCAGGGTCTTGGGACTCCAGCCTTTCGAGGCTGTTGCTGTGTGATACTCAGCAAGTGATTTCCTCCCAGCTTTAAATTCCTAAAAGTAAATAAGGGAGGTTAAATTAGGGTCATTTGTAGACTGAAGTGAATCTGTGCAAAGGGTTCAGTAATATTCATTAGTTCTACATGGGGAACTAAATTAACTTAACATTCCTGGAGAAACACCACCGGCTCTGGTGAAAAATGTGCTGAGCACTCATCAGCCTGAGCACGTGCACCTCACTTTTATTCTGACCTCTGATTCAAACCGAGCTGGAACGAAGCAGAACAACTGCAAATATAAAGAACAACAACAGATAAACCAGCTCAACAGCCCCATGGGAACATTTCCATCTGCACACCACAGGTTTGGTGCCAGTTCCCTAAAGTGCTGTTATTCAATCTTGCCATAAAACTAACTATGAACTCCTAAAACCTGCAACAAAACAAGGTGCTCAACTTCTGTGCTGCAGCTGTGTGTCCATGTTGTCTGTATTTGTCACTCAGCAGGTGACAGGACATGGTCCAGCCTGTACACCAGGTAGCTGAGAGGACTTAACACAGAAAGTGCTGGCCCTGCCCTAATGCCACTGACTGTGATTTCTGTTTCTTGGCATTCCAGGCTGCATTACAGAGCTCAGGTTTCCCTGACTCAAAGCTTGATTGAGGGAGCAGGTCTCACTCAGCATTGACAGTGACAGAGAACTGGAAGGGACTTTAGGAAGAGATTTAGATCATCCAGCTCTAAGGCAGGATGAACCCATTCCTAACATTTCATCTTTGCAATCTTAACAATCCAAAGATACCAACATGACCTCTCTGAATTATCTATTGGCTATCTTAGGCTTTGTCTCTAAAACAGAGACAGAAAGAGATGGGGTGGTAAAAGCTTCTGAGCTTCTGAGCTCAGCTTTTCGCCATATCTCACTGATAATGGATATCTCATTGATTATCTTCCTTTGTATCCTTGGTGCCTCTTGCTATGCTGTTTCAGACAGAATAAACCAAACAATAATGAACCATCATCAAACTGGCAATTGCTTCCTGCCCAGCTTATATTAGCAGAGAAAGAGAAAGCAAATGATGATTAGTCCTATGTCTGCACTCAAAGATAAAACCCCTGAGCAGAAGCCATCTGCTGAGGCATAAAATAATAATTCTGGCACTAGCCCTGTCTGAGTGCAGTGCCATCAGCCCTTCCCAAAACACAATGCAATGCAGGCCTAATGCTGAGTTCTAGCAGGTGGCCCATAACCCTGTAATAAACTCCCTGCCATTGATTCCCCCCCCAAACTGAGCCCTTTTGTCTAACCACATTAACTCCTGCTTACTGAGCAGCTGCACATGAGGCAGCATGCACATCAGCAGCAGCTCCTTTCGGTGAGCAATCACCATGCCAAATGTGCCCACTGAGCCTTCTCTGTTCTCTCAGATCTGCTCAGCTATGTTATTTCAGAAGTCAAAACCAGCACTTGTTAGTTCTGGGTGCTTACAGGAAGATTTCTATCTTAGCTTGGGGAAAACTGAAATATGCCTCTGCTGCTAATTTTGCATATGAAGGGAGCCGAAATAGGACCCAGACAGGCTGTTCCCATTTTACACCTTCAGCCAAATCTGCCTGGCCCATTTGCATGTGCTCCCAAAGCATGTGGCCAGCACATCAGCCTTTGCCTGCTCTTTGATGTTCAGAGGTGCATCTCCTGCTGCCAAAAATCCTCCTCGCTCAGCCAGCTATCCAGCCAGCAGGAGAGGTGTGGTCTTCTGAGGGCTGTGGAAAGACATCCAAGCTGGGTTCCCTGGCCATCCCCTGAACAGGTCCTGCCAAGGTTCAGGATATCACTCAGAGGGGAAGGTTTGACTCTTTGCAGTCCAAAGCAAGATTAAGCTGAGGTCCCAAGGCATTATCTATATTTCTCTGTGGAAATTTCCTGCTTGAGACAGTTGGCAGCTATGCACCAAAAGGATGTCATCAGCATCTAGCAGTGATGTTCCCTTTCAAATGTCTGGCTATTAGCTTTAAGTGCAATAAGCTTTACATACAGCTTGGAACACTGTTACTGTCTAAATGAAACAGGTTTTTTTAGAGTACAGGCATGGTATTTTCAGCTGTGCATGGACAAGGAGCCTCCTACAGAGGGTACTTGGTGATGGTGGGGCTGAAGAAGAGCATGTCCTTGGAGCTGCCTGCATGAGCAGGTCCCTGTGGGCAGGGCAGATTTGGGATCCCATTTGGAAGAAGGGGCTGATTGATACTGAGGACAGTGCAGGGAGTTGGTACCAGGCCCTGTTGCCACCAGCTGTCCTGTGAGAGGAGGAGGAGGAGGGTGGCCTCAAGGACCAGACAGAGTCTTTGCTTTATGCTACTCTCAGAGGCAGAGCAGATCCAGCATCCAGCCTTCACCCCTGGCCTTAATCTGCAGCATGTGCTGGGGACATCAATGGCACTGCTGCTCCAGCTGGGAGCCCTCGGGGAGGGTCTCGATGCCTCAGGCAGCAAAGTGCCACCGGCAGCGATGAGACACAGCCTGTCTGGAGAGGGGGTGGCAGCCGTGTTTGTGTTGGCAAAACCAGCTGCCAGTGGCAGCAGGCCCAGGGAGCACAAGAGGCTGGGGCTGGAAGGGCCCCTGTGCCGAGGAAGAGATCAATGGGAGTTGGAGTTTTAACATTGCAGGGTGACGGTTCCTGCCAAGAGCCTTCCACAATAAAACCAGCAAATCAATCCTCCACTGAGTAACTCCAGATGAGGGCTGCTGGCCTAGTAAATCTGATCAACAGTTTGCTGCTCCTTTAGCAGTGGCTTAAGGAAAAATAACAAAATAAAATTATACTTTTCTGCACATCAGAGAATCCTCTTTCTGTCCTCAGTTAAAAGGTGTCACAACACACTCTGAGTCGACACTTGGCACAGAAGAGGAGGGCAAAAAAAAGGACAAAGAAATTATAATTTACAAGGAACCCAACAACAGTTAAGGCAGTTCTAGATTACCAACCCTAACCAGGGCCTTGGGCACCTTAGCACTGGGGCTTTGCAGGACTGGTGCTGGTCACACACACCAATGTCTCCACTGCTGGGAGCAGACCCAGGATGTTGACTGGTGCCATCAGGGCTCAGGTTTGTCCATCTGAGATCCAGAGAATTTTGTCCCATTTCCCCATCCAGCAGACTCATTCCAGCATCTTGATCAGAAAGAGGGATTTTTGGGTAGTAGTAGGGTTGCTTCTAAGGCTTGATCTCTTTTGGGAAGACCTTTATCACATCAGTATCTGACATGGCTGATATAAGATAAACCATAAAGTCAGCTTTCATGATGGATTTGTCCATAGCAATGGGAAATGGGGATTACTTTATTATTAAATAAAAAATGCACAGTACTTTATACACAAGGAGAAAGAGAAAAACTGGGCCCAGGGATTTTGGTGGAGACTGCAGTTCACAACAGTCATTAACTGGTGGTGTTCTGGAGTGTCCAGTCAGATCTACTGAGGTCACTGGAGTTAAATTAACCTAAACCAGGCAAGTAAACAGCCCTCAGTGAAACCCAGGGGACAGTGAGTGCATTATTCAGAGCTTGGCTGTCCATGCTGGGACAATCAGGGTCCCCGTGATCCCTGAGCCAACCTGGGGCAGCCTGTAGAGTGGTTTCCCTCCTGGATGTGCTCCTCAGGCTGCCTGACAGCATCTCTGGGATGTCCTGGCAGGACAGAGCAGCTGTCAAGGGTTGTTTGGAGCCCTCACTGCTTCCCCTGCCCTCTGGAGCTGTCTGCCCACATTCACAGGAAGATTTATGGCAATGTTTTCCTCTCTCATGGCTGAGCTCAAGTGGCCAAGGGACTGATGCAGGAACATGATACCTCAGAGCTGAAAGCAGAAAGCTGCAATGGGACTTACCTTTCACTGGAGAATATACCTGTGGATGGAGAATGACATAGCAAAGCAGAAGGCTGCTCTGTCTGTCTGATAAAAACCAGTATCAGATTTTTCAGAGCCCCACTCTGCTCCCCCACTGAAATGTGCCTCTGGGCAAGGGATCCCTGGTCAGGGACAGTTAAAAATTAGATTTATTTTTTTTCTCCTGTTTGGAACAGAGTTCCATCTATGGTGGCCCATATTAGTACATCTCTCACTCACCAAAGCTAGCACAGACCTGGCTGTCTGGCGCCAGGAGAGGAGGTGGAGGCTGTAAGATCCACCTCTGGCCCAGCAGGTAAGGGGATAAAACAACCACAAAAGATTAAAGCTGGCAGGAAAAGACTGCATCCATGGCTGCTCTGTGGCAATGCCATGGATAGAGGGAAAAGTCCCTGCATGTGCACTGGCTGTTGAGGTCACCAAGGCAGCTTTCCCAGCACCCTGGATACCTGCACTCCTCAAGGCCCACGCACATCTAGCTTCAAAGCTTATCTGTAGTCAGTTTTACACTGTAAAGTGTCTTTGTTTAGTCAACAGAACCACTAATACATGTGATTTTGTTGTTAATAGAGCTTTAAGAATTTTAAGTACCTCTTGGGAATGTGTCATTTTTGGTTGGCTTTTTCAGGCATCACAGGGCGCTACGTTTGTCTTTGTAAACAAGCGCTGAATAAAACATTTAGCACACAGCCGCACTTTGTACAAGTGTCATGCAGGTTTCTAAAGTTTCAGAAAGAATAAATCAACTGCAAACTGCTGCCTGGCAGTTGACTTCACTCCTTATAAATAGCTAATTTGGACAACTTCGCTCTGCACGTCCCATGAAATTCAAATACTGTGTATATGGTTAATGCAGGCACACAAATCAGAGCTGCAGCAGCCCCTTTCATCAGCCTGGGCTGCTACAGAAATGCCACGGCGAGGGGCAGATCGGCTCCAGGTTGCCCTCCCTTTCTCCTGGAGGTGATCCCAGGGAACACCAGCAGGTCATTGTGCTCTGCTGCCTGGCCCCAGGGGAGGGGCAGGAGCCCCATGCTGACCCAGTTCACTGCCGGTTGTACTGGTTGGCAGCCATCATTGCTCATTGCTCAGGGGAGAATTAGGTCCAAACTCAGCCATGAAAAACAACCCTGGATTTATAAACCCAGTGGAAAAAGTAAGGGCTGACACTGGCTTTGCAGCTCTCGGCACTGGGCATGGGGTGGATGCACGCCCTTCCCTCCTACCCAGGCACAGTGCTGCTGATCCAGCCTTGCAGAACCTCCATGTGGGATGCAAACTTACCTGATCCTCCCAGGAGGCTCTTAGCAACACACAGGATCCATCCAAGCTACTCCAAAACTCAGCCCAGAGGCCCTAATCCTGGAAGGTGCTGAGCAACTCAGACTTCTGCCACTCACCTCTGAATTTTGGCACGTGTTCAGCACAAGCAGGATCAGTCCCTTGCTGTAATAATCAGGGAATGAGGAACTCAGCTTGACCGAGTTTCCCTCCCACACCCCAACGCAAAAATGCTGTACATTCCTTTATGCAGGTTTCCATAGAAATATTTTTTTGTTGTTGCTGTTAAAGGGGTCAGCAATGCACTGTACAATGGGATCTAGCTGTCAGGAAATATGGAGGAATTCAGGGACACTTTTAACATCTTCCTGGTGTGACTGGAAGGCAGCATTAAACTTAGCATCATGGAAATCTCCCAACCAAAGAGAAGAAAAAAGTCCGGAAGAGCCCCAGTAGAAGTTATGAAGACATTCTGCTTTGTTGATCCTAAGTTTAAATAAGTTATTTCTTCCCTACTTCCTTTGTTAAAATATGATATTCTGGCTTTAATTGCTTCAATCCTATTATTTGTTCCTTTTAGCAAGTGATTGTGTAGCCCCTTGCTGTGGGGAAATCCCCTGACTGCGGGTCCGTGTTACTTAGACAAGTCCCCTTTCAGAAGTAAATGCCATTCTTAGCATAGGGAAGTACTTTAGGTCTAAAGGGGTTAAGAAGGCCTCCCTGCATTCAGAAACATGCAGGGGTCCCACCATGCCAGTTCCAGCCTTTTGAACTCTTTCCAGCTTTTTTTTCTTGCAACAAATCTGTCTGACTGCCACCAGGACATAGGAAGCGTGTGCCTGTCAAAGAAATCAAGTTTACTTTTTCTGACTTGTTAACAGAGGCAGGGTATAAATAGAGCTAACTCTGCTCGCACAAGTAGTGTTTCTCTTAAAATAAGGGGGTGACTTCCTAGGACCTTTAATCCAATGAGGTCCAGACCAAACTGCACTATCGACAGAGGCAGCAGAGGAGCTTGCTGAAGTTTTTACCGAAGTCAGGTGCATCTGGGTTCCTCAAAAACTTAAGGCTTACCAAAAAAACAAAAAAAAAAAAAGAAAAAAAAAGAGCAACCCCAAGAGAACAAGAACTGCTTCAAGCTCGGACACTGCCCTGGAGAAGTTCTGAGATGTTGTTGGTACTGTTCACTCGGTGGATGTGGATCTTGCTGGGGAAGAGCACTGTCCTCTTGCTTCTGGAGGTGTCTCTGAAAGGGAGAGCCCTACCTCCAATCCGCTACTCCCACGCTGGGATATGCCCCAATGACATGAACCCCAACCTGTGGGTCGACGCGCAGAGCACCTGCAAGAGGGAGTGCGACGCTGACCTGGTGAGTGATGCTCGTTTTTGTGTCTCTGCACCACGGGTGCTGCTGGAGCTCTCGGGGGGTTTGGTGGGAGCCTTCTGTCCCAGCTGGCACCAGGCAGAACCCAAAGCAGACAGCACATGTGTTGAACTGACCCGTGACTGATGTAACATAGAAAAGGTTTGGTGGGTTATCAGTTAAGAGGGGAGGTGTGTGTCAGCTCTCATTTTTGCTGGTGTGGGTATAGCACTCACTCTGATCCTTTTCCTTGTTTTCATGTCAGAAGAAATGTCTGAATTTGATACTCCAGAACTCAGCATGCCCTGAGGCCAATCTGTAGTATTTTAACAGTGTCATCTTGCTCTTTGTTGTTGGTGGCCATCATCAATGTTTTATATTCCCAGGAGGAATCCTGTATGAAATAGTTTAATTTAGCATAGAAATCAACCTTTGCTGCATTTGAAGTGCAAAGCTTGCTCGGGGTGCAGAATAGGGCATGGCTGAAATGACCAGACAGATGTTCTGTGGGATGCTCCCAGCTCAAAATGTGTTTAGCTTACCACCCTAAAATTCATTTTTCAACTTGTCAGCACTGCCAGCTCAGGCTGGCATCTGAAAATACCTGCTTGTCCTACCTCTTACATCATGTCCCGTGACAGAGTTTCTGCAGCCCAAACCTGGCGGACAGGAACATTTACTGTGCTGAAAAAAAGCGTTTGGGTTTGTGTTCTGTAGCCAGGTTGTTTCTGCAATGCTAAAAAGGGGGGAAAAAAAGACAAAAATTCTGGCCATAAGTAAACAAAGACATTTACTCAGATGGATCCCATGTGTTAGGAATGAAGGCGCTCTTTTTACTTTTGCCATTTCCAAATAAGCTGCCTCTGTTCCAACTACCAGGTGCAGCAATGAACACTAAAACACTTTCAAAACCCCAGCAGCAGCAGCACCAGCAGCAGCAGACAATGATGTTTTAATAATTTACTGGCCAAAACCTGAAAGCCAAAAGCCACTGGCTACAAAAATTCCTTTTGCCTAGTGGCAGCACAGAGTCCTAGGACTTTGGATGGAGTGAGTGCACTGCAGGCAACCAAGGACTCTGCCAAGCCACACTCCTTAACCCCAGCTGAAAACCTCCCCAATCCTGGTTTCTAGCTTTGCTTCTGAAACATAGTAATGTGCAGCTGGAAATGGGGAAAGAGTTTTTGTATTAGGTCATCTTTTTCCCAATAAGGAAAGGATATGGGACTCCGGAGAAGCTCTTTAGTGTGGTAGCTTAAAAACCATTTTGTTCTCACTTAGGGAAAAAGCTGATGGATTTTAGGGGGCTTGTAGAGGTTTAACACATGGTGGAAGTGTACCCTGTTGGCCACATGGTAGCTGTTTTCTGGTCCCTTGAAATAATCCATAACCACCCAGAAACCCTGATCACATGTATCAAATACCTTTTCTGCACAGAAGATGAAATTTCTGCTAAAATTAACCACAATTTAGAGCTGACTATAACCGAGGCGGGGTGTAATAAATCACTAGTAGAGTGATGCTGCATTTGAAAATAGGACTAAAATAGGACAGAGAAGCCATAATGAGCTGTTTGGGGTTTGTTTTTCTAAATACCATAGAAAAACTATTTTTGGAGCAAGTATTACCTTGAGATATTCTATTTCCTCTACAATGTGAACAATTACAAATCCTTGGCAGTTTCACCTCCAAGAGCCGGCTGTTAGTCTCAGGGAATTCAAATAATACTTTACATACTTGTGTGGAAAATAAGAAGGATTACTGCCTACAGCCATATGATAAGACTTTCCATCTGCTCTTGTTTCTCAGGGCTTGTCCACAGGCATTTCAGAGAGCATGGAAGGGGGGTGGTTGGTTCATAGTCAAGCGGTCCATGTGACTCTGGGGTAAAGACTTACAAGGAGGTTTAGGAAACAGAATTATATTTTCCTTCCCAAGAGTCTTCTCCATCAGCACTTCAGAACCCCCTGGGAAATGCTGAGGGGATGTTCCTACTCACTGACAGCAGGGGCACTGGAGTTTCAGATCAGGGATATCTGTGGCAGAGCTGAGTTTCTGGGCTCTCTGCTTGCTGAGTCTCCAAAAAGGCTTTTACTCTGTTCCCAGTAATGATCAGGTTATTTTCCTTCCCCACAGGAGTGCGAGACCTTTGAGAAGTGCTGCCCCAATGTCTGTGGAACCAAGAGCTGTGTGGCCGCTCGTTACATGGACATCAAGGGGAAAAAGGGGCCTGTGGGGATGCCCAAAGAGGCAACCTGTGACCGCTTCATGTGCATCCAGCAAGGCTCAGAGTGCGACATCTGGGACGGGCAGCCTGTCTGCAAGTGCAAGGACAGGTGTGAGAAGGAACCGAGCTTCACCTGTGCCTCTGATGGGCTCACCTACTACAACAAGTGCTACATGGATGCAGAGGCCTGTATCAAAGGCATTACACTGAACGTGGTCACCTGTAGGTACCATCTCACCTGGCCAAACACCAGCCCTATCCCCCCAGAAACAACAGCTCGCCCTACCACCGCCTACTCCGAGACAACAGTCATTGATATCTTGCCACCTGTGCTGGTGAACAACCCCGTCCAGCAGTCCGTCTATGTAGGAGAGACTGTCAGCTTCCTCTGCGATGTCACAGGGAGACCCAAGCCAGAAATCACATGGGAGAAGCAGGTGGATGGGAAGGACAAAGTCATCATGAAGCCAAACCACGTCAGAGGGAACGTGGTGGTCACCAACATCGCCCAGCTGGTCATCTACAACACGCAGCTGCAGGATGCGGGAATCTACACCTGCACTGCCCAGAACAGCGGCGGCCTCCTCCAGGTGGATTTCCCTTTGTCAGTCATCAGAGGAGAGCCCACATCCAAGGAAGCTTCCCAGAACAAAACACATTTTCCCACCGATGAGTGCCTGAAGCAGCCAGACAGTGAAGACTGTGGGGAAGAGCAGACCAGGTGGTACTATGATGCCAAGAAAAACAACTGCTTTACTTTCATCTATGGGAACTGCAACAGCAACCTCAACCACTTTGAGACCTATGAGCGTTGCATGCTAACGTGCATGAACGGCCCCATCAACACCTGCAACCTGCCAGCCCTTCAAGGCCACTGCAAGGCCTATGAGCCCAGGTGGGCCTACAACAGCTTGACAAAGCAGTGCCAGTCCTTCATCTATGGCGGGTGTGGAGGCAATGAGAACAACTTTGAGAGCCGGGAGGCCTGCGAGGAGATGTGCCCCTTCCCGAAGAACACGCACTGCAAGGCCTGCAAACCCCGCCAGAAGCTGGTGACCAGCTTCTGCAAAAGTGACTTTGTCATCTTGGGCCGCATTACGGAGCTGACCGAAGACCAGGACTCGGGACACGCCCTGGTGACGGTGGAGGAGATTCTCAAGGATGAAAAAATGGGATTAAAATTCCTGGGGAAGGAACCACTGGAAATCACGCTTTTGAACATGGACTGGAGCTGCCCGTGTCCCAACATGACCACAGTGGATGGCCAGCTGATCATCATGGGGGATGTCCACAATGGCATGGCTGTCCTACAGCCAGACAGCTTCGTGGGCACCTCCAGCATCCGGCGCGTGCGCAAGCTCCGCGAAGTCATCCACAAGAAAACCTGTGAGCTTTTGAAAGAGTTCCTGGGATTGCATTAACCTCCCTCATACGTGTGAGCTGTCCTGATCCATGTGTTAGTAGGGCTAACAAGTGCTAGGCTAGAGCCAAACTAAACTCACTGTTTAGGAGGAAGGAAGATACACTGTAGGAGTTACGCAGAACCCCTATTTTAATCCATTAATGATGCTTAGCAACAACATAGTTTGGTCTTTGGCAGGCATGTAAACCAGCAGCAAAAGGCCATTAATCTTGCATTGAAATCAATTTGTCCATATAGGAGTGCCATTTAACTAGGTGACTCACTTCAGTAATTATACAATTTTTATCTAGCTTCCATCATAAATGACAGAATTCATAGCGTTTGTTTGGCTAGTTGGTACACAGCTAAGAAATACGTAATGTCAATTTAATCTCTCATTTTCAGTCAGGTTTGTCATTGTAAGTCACACACGGCTCCTTATAGCAGCACTAATATTTCAAGAGAAAAGGCTGTAAATTATTGTCTATATTTACAATTGTGCGCATTTAACCAACCTACGCATTATGAGTTTGCTTCTTTTAATTGCAATTTTCCTTTTTTTTTCCTTTTAAAAACCTCATTTTTAAATGGCAACTACTACCTATCTTGCAATCCTTACTGGAGGAGAAACTCCCTTGGTTCTGTGCCCAGGACAACAGGTCCCTATAAAAGCTCAAGGCACAGTCTCACCCTGAAATGATATTTCTGTCACCAGAAAAAGGTCAGCAAACACCCTCGTTCCCTATTTAAGTTTCAATCAATATATTGTCTATCACAAAAAGTCCAAACTAGGACAGCAGTGTGCTGCCAGCTGTCTTGCTTTTGAAAAGCCTTTACACCTGAGTATACACAGCGATTTATTGCTTATTTTCAGTATCAATCCTGCTTTTATAGATGAGAGATCAAAGTAAGAAGAGTCAGAACAAAATTCAGCCTAGGAAAGTGAGGTACACAATCTGCAAACTGCATCAGGCAGACACAAAGCTCCTGAATCTGAACTGCACAAACACAAGCAGACAAAGTGGACACTTTAAAGGTTTTTATCAGTGTCACCCTTTTAGAGCCTTTTTAGAGTCTTTCAAACCTCAGAATACACTTTCCACCAGGCCACTGTATATAGGTGTATGAATGAATTCCCTGTGACAGCCAGCACAGGCTGTGGGTGGGAGCAGGTGAATACACATAGGATAAATAATTTTAACATTTGTGTGTCCAAAAAATGTAACATTTGCCTATAAAAAAAAATCCTTAAATAAAGAAAAGGCTGATCCTGGAAACATCCTGCCGTGCTGAGGAGTGTGATTGCAGGGAAGAGGGGCGAACGTGGCACAGTGAGCCTTGTCACTGCTCCTTGTTCTGTGGGCTCAGCCAAGTGACTGTGGCAGAGCTCAGAGCTTGCTGCCCTGCACAAAGGGCCTGTTCAGGGCTGGAGCAGTGTCAAGACATGTCTGGGTGAGAAGGAAAGGAGGGAGGCAGGAAAGTGCAGGCAGTGCTGCCCCATGGTGCCATCTAATGGGCTTGCTGCAGGGCAGCCGAGGCTGGCAGGGGAACACCTATGTCTCTGCAGGCCTGTGGTGGGGCTGGCTGTGGCAAGGGCTGGGGAAGGAGATTAAACAGGCAGATGTTGGATACCTGCACCATCCCCCCAAAGCCTGTGCATGTTGAGTGTTTGGTAGTTGCAGGGAGGAAAATTCACGAGAGAAACAGCATCGGATGTGAGTCCAGCTCTGCTTCCCCTGATTCCACACTCTGCACCAGCAGCCAAGCCATGGGTAGAGAGCACTGCAGGATGGAGAACTGGGCTCCTCTCCCAGTGGTTTGGGCTTGGGTTATTTCTGAAGTGTTCCTGCAACTGGAATGGATCTAAATCTCCAGTTATTTGGATAATTTCACAAGAAGCTGAGTGGGAGGGAGAGAGAGGAGCCTGGACCAGGCTTTGCTGACCAAGAAAATACCTGCTGGGTTTTTTGTTGTACCTTTCCTAAGTGTATGTGAAAAAACCTCCAATTAAAGTCCCATAATGTTTGCATATGTTCTTGTGGAGACCATTTTCTGCAGATGGGAGATGCTGGCCCTACTGCCCTCTGAAACAGCTGGCGTCTCCATCCCCAGCTGTGGCAGCCACCACTGACCTATGGCTCATCTGCCATTTTTTGAGCAACCTGTAGGAAGTGGAATGTTCTTACAATACTAACAGAAAGCTTTTGGAGGATGGAGGTTTAATAAACAGAGGGTTTGTATGCCTCCCTTTTTCCTAAAATTAGGAGATTTTGCAAGTGTGAGAGTGTTGAGGTAACTCAGGAGTGTTGGAATGACTTGGGACAGGTGGAGCTGGGTGTTCAGAAGAGCTGGGATGCAAACATAGCTGGCTGGAGCAGAAAGTAGAGGATTCATTGCTTCTCCAGCCAGCACAGTGCAGTGCTGTAGCCTTGGCTCTAAAGTGCTTTCTTGGCTTTCCCTTCTGGTGAATCCCTTGGGAAGGCAGCAGGCACTTAAAACATGCAGCATGCAGTGCAAGTGCTCTGAGGCACCGAGAGACAGGGCTGTGCAAGGTGTAAAGTGTCTGCCAGCCCCCTTGGGGCACTCAGGCCTGCTGTTAGAGGGGTTTTCTGCACAGGGGATCCCAGGGGACACTCTGGGTCAGTTTTCACAGTGGTGGGGTGAGATGGACACCACTGCACAGAACCACCACAGGTACCCTGAGGCAGAAGGAGCAGGCATCCCTTACCTGCTCACCAGGAAAAAAACCATTCCTGGCAGTTCTGTGAGCACCACCCCTCCCCGTGGCATGGGACTGACCCCAACCCAAGCCTCTCCACCTTCTGACCTTGAGGAATTCAGGTCTCCATTCAAAGCTAGTTTAGTTCAGCCTCTTATTAAATCCTTAAGAAGCCTAAAATTTGAGCCTGACCATCCCAGCAGCCCAGGGATGCTGCTGCATGGGGCCAGTGCTGGAGGATGTTGCTCCACCTTTCAGGACTAATGGGCACATGCATGTGGCTTCTCACCAGGAGGTCCCTTTTGTGTTGCTCATCAGCTCAGGTTCCATCCTGCCCTGTGGGGTCCTTCTCCCAGGCTGTCAGAAAGCTGGAAGGAAATGCCAGTATTTAAAGTTATATAAAATTTATGAGAGGAGAGAGGGAAAGGGAAAAGCTTCCTTGAGTCCTTTCCCTGCAGGGCTGTGGGCTCAGAAGGAGCACCAGTGCCTGCACGAGGCTCCAGGGAAGAGCTGGGGATTGATGCCACCTCCAAATCCACATGGCTGTGGCCAGTGACTGATGTCAAAGCTTTCCTCCACATGCAGACAGGAGGGAAACAGCATTCCCCACAGACACTGGCTCAGGAAGCAACACAGAATCATAGAATCACTAAGGCTGGAAAATACCTCCTAAAATCATTGAGTCCAACTGAGAAGCTGAGAACAGACCTACACTGGCTGGGTCTGAGACCTGCAGGAGCTCCCCAGGGCTCAGGGATGGATCTAATGGATACTTGACAGCCCAGTGTGAGGTGCCCACCTCCCTCACCCCCAACCTGGAGTGAGGATGAGAAGTGCAACCCCCGAATCTACAAACCCTGCAGCTGGACAGACACCAACCAGCAGCTGGATCTCAGCAGGAATCACTGGTGGTTGTGTCTGACTCCGTTAACAGGGGACAAACAGCAGCAGCAGCAAAGTGATGGTGTGTGGCTGCTGCACACAGATTGTGTGTGGCACTGGTGTCACACGAGGCTGGTGTCACACAAGGCAGGTGTCACACAGCTGGCAGGGCACGAGGAGCTGCACACATGGAGAGCTGGCTGGCTGATTACTCAGAGACAGATTCTGCATCACCCACAGCACTCAGAGCTGCTGAGCTCAAAGGAAGGAGGCAATTGAGCATGCTTTCATTGCAGGGGCTCCAGATGAGATCAGGCAGAAGATTTAATGGGCAACCAGTTCCAGAACAAGGAGCAAACAGTAGTGGTGATGCCACTGGAATATGATTCAGACAGCAAAGGTATTTAAGAGCTCAGTTTCCACTTGTTTTAAAAGAAATTAGGGACCCCTGCAAGAATTCCCCCCTGGCCATGGGTCTCAGTTCCTGAGGGAGGTGGTTGTGATGAAGGTCATACATGGCTTCAGCCAACACCTAATGATTTCCTGCAAAAATGAGGATTAATTCAGCTGTCACCAAATGAGCACCTTGCGCCACAGGACCTACTTCTTCCACCTGAAGCACCTTGTGCCACATTTGGCTGTAATTTGTGCATGTGCCAGGAAATTCTCCCTGTGGATAATTACCAGGAAAAGATCATGGCCAAGCTGGTACCTCCAGTGGGGCTGGATGGACCCAGATTTTAAAGGCACAGCTGTGAAAATGTCAGCCTGAGCAAGAACATCCAGTTTAGAGCCTGTTCTAATACCAAGTATTTAGTGGTTTCCCCTCTGCCAGGACTGGTTACTGATTGACTACAAGTGACCTCCAGTTGCTGTATTGATTTACAGCAGCTGTCAAAGGGCAAAAAACCAGCCCCATGCCCAAGACCTGAGAACCTCTGAATGGAGATTGCACAACTGAATGAATGTTCTGCCAGCACTTTAAATCTTGGAAAGAAAAAGTTAGCTTGAGGTCCTGATCTCCAAGGCAAACAGCAGTAAAATTTGAATATAAGGTTGCAGCATTAGAGGACATATCTATTAGCCAAAAAAGCAGCATAATCTGTTTAATTCTCAGCTATTTATGGCTGGGCAAATGATACATTTAGGCCTCAGAATTTAGAAAGCAAATGGGAAGTCTTCCAGGGGCTGATGGGTGGGTCAGGTTTCAGCGAGGAAACTCTCTAACTCTGGTATTTTTCTCTGTGCCCATCCCTACATCCGCCTTTATTCCCATCCAACTGTCCCTGGTGCCCAGCCAAAAGGTGTTGGGGGTCTCCTCCAAACCCCTGGCTTTGGTGGACACAGACCTGCCAAGGACCAGCTCTAACAAAGACAAGGAGAGTTGAATGTCCACGTTTCAGAATTTTAGGGACACTTGGGGTGGGGAGCTGGGGCCACCCCAGACCCCTGGTACTGCTCCCTGGAGGAGAAGGCTGGAGACAAGATAAAGAGGGAAAGATTCCTCCAGAGGAGGGAGGGGGAGCACAATTTCACCTTAAACTGGTCTTACAACATGACAGTTGGTGTGGATCACCTGGCATGAAAAGAACTGTCGTAAAGGGCTGTGTGCCTTCTCTTTCTCCTTTGCTCTGCTTCTCACACCCCTGAGCCAAGTGGAGACTGTAACATGTGTAAAGGACATTGCTTCCTCTACTGCTTGAAATAAACAGGAAAACAACAGTAATAAATCTCCAGGATCAGATGGTTTTCACCCAAGGGTAAAAGTACTTACATAAAACATTGCTTAACCATTAACTGCAGCAGATAACCTTTACTTCAGTGTGGCAGGACCAGAGCATGCAAGGTAGCAAACATGGGGCTAATTTTAGAGGAGGGTTCCCAAGGGCTGGGTATGAAAACTCAGCAAGTCTGGTAGAAACTGTAAGATAGACTAAAACTCACAGCTGGGTGGTAAATAGGATGTGAGGAGGGAGAGTGTGTGTGCTTCAACAGAGGGAAGTGCTGCTCTGTGACACTTCCTTTGAAGCAATCACACGACAGGGCTGGTCCAGCTGAGGGAGTTGATTTGCATCAAGGCCTCAGAGCTCCAGCTCTCTCAGCCAAGGCTTTTGAAGTCATTTAGCTGTCCTGAGATTGGGAGAGGTGTGACAGTCTCCTGAGCCAACAACTGGTTGAAATATCAGAAAGAAAAAAAGAGTGAGACCAAAAGGTCAGTGTTCAGTGTGAAGAGAAGTCATCAGCAGCATCCCAGGGAACCCATGGAGATCATCTGGGAGAGGGATGGGAGAGATAGGATATGAAGGTTGTTGTTGAGATCAGATTATTCAGGGCTGCAAAATCACAAGCTGACTGTGAGGAGCTGCAGTAATACCAAGTGACAGGATGATAAAATAGCAAATGAAATGTAATATTGGTTAATATACATGGGGGAAATTGAGCCCTGGCTCTGCATTCCCATCACAACTTCAAGAAAGCTGCTCCCATTCCAGACCTGGATGATCCACACATGGGTCTGACCCACGGGGGGTCCAGCCTGGCTCTTGTGTGCAGGCAGCCCCCTGAGCAGACCCTCCACATCACACATCTCAAAACAGCACCAGCAGCTTGACAACCTGCAACATTCCTGTTAACAGGCACAAAGAGCCTGTGGACATCTCAAAATCCCAGCAGCACGGCACATGTTCAGGCTGGACAAGTTACTGCCCTGCTAACAGAATGCTCCTGCTATTAGGAACGTGCTCCTGACATCACCAGATAAATCTCAGCCACATCCCAGCCTCGTAGTGTCAGGTCCTGCTAAAACAGGCACCTCACCTGCATCTGCCCCCACAAGCAGCTCGTGCTGCAGGAGGGACAACAGGCTCAGACCCAAACCCAGCTCGGGAGCCCTGAGTCTCTTCAGAAGATCCCCACAATTCCTGCATCTCTGGTGCTTGGAGAAGACCCTGGAAATGACAAAGCTCCTTCTGGAAATGCCTCCAAGGCTGGCCTTGGCCAAATCCCTCCATCCCTGAACAGAGAGCAAGATGCAAGCAGGATATTCCAGGGGAGCTGTGGAGTAGAGGGGGTCTCACCAGCCTCAGCAGGACTCACCATATCCTAGAACTGTACAATCATCACAGGGTTTGGTTTGGAAGGGACCTTTAAAGACCTTCTCTTTCCATGCCCTACCATGGGCAGGGACACCTTTCACCAGCCTAAGTTGCTCCAAGCCCCATCCAACCTGACCTTGAATATTTCCAGGGATGGAGCATCCACCACCTCCCTGGGCAGGCTGTGCCAGGGTCTCTCCACCCTCACTGCATAGGCAGGGCCATGTTCTCCATCCTGCACTGCCCAACACAAAATTTAATGCCAGAGCCAGAGCCAGCACCAGCCCCCAAGAGTGGAACAGCGTTACTGC